CACCTGTCCTCCCCTCCCCGCGGCTGAGCAGGGGCTCACCATGCGTGGGTGCTGGGCCTGCAGAGGGACAAACTGGCCGAGGGGAGCCATGTGTGGGGGCTGGTGCGGCGGCACGGGCGGTGGCGGGTGCAGGATGTAATGGTCACTGGAGATGAGCGGGGGGAAGGTCTGGTAGGAGACGGGCAGCTGCTGCATGGCGCATGCCTGGATCAGCTGAGAGAGACAGAAGCAGAGCAGCCATCAGCAGTGCCCAGGACCCGCCGCGCAGCGGCCCCCCCGTCCCCTTCGCCCCCACCCCCAATCCTTCCTGCTGTTCAGGCAGCCAAAGATGCCCCCTCCCCGTTCCCTTCCAGGCTCAGTACAGCCTGCGCCGCCCAGGTCTCAGCTCCTCCTGCCCCCTCAGCACCGCGGCAGGGTCTCACCGGGGGCGGGAGGCAGCAGAGCGGGTAGTGCTGGCCACTGAACATCACGGAGCATGCTGGGAGCTGCTGCGCGCTGCACCCGGGGATGTGCTGGCCCGTGTGGAGGGGGAAGCCTTGTGTCGTGAGCGTGGTCACCGTGTAGGAGAGGGGGACGGGGCCCTGGTGCACCTACAGGAGAGACCCTGGCTGTCAGTTTGCTGCACCCATGCCCGTCGGGGAGCATCAGCCCACCACAGCGGCCGTGCCCTCCCGGCCACACTCCGTGCCAGCTCCGAGCACAGGCAGCCAGGCTCTCATCTCGGTGCTGGGGCTGCCCGGCCTCCTTGTCAGCGCAGGTAGCGACCAAGCGCCTCGACTGCACCGCGCCCAGCCCAGCCGGTCTGCCAGGCGCTCTTCTGCAGTGGCCCAGCAGCACGGAGATTTGGGGCACGGGGGACCCCTGCGAGGTCTGTGTGGGGCATCTCCAGACTGCCGCCACAGCGCTCGTCACGGCAGGGGGTCAAGCGAGAACCCAATCCCCCCACACCCCCCCCACCTGCTCGTGGAGATCCACCATGAATGGGTTCTGGTGGGGCGGGTGCGCAGCCGGGTGCAGCATTCGTGGCGGCGTGCTGGCCAGGGCGTAGGCGCGGGGCTCATCTATGGAGACGGGCTGCGGCAGGGGCGGCGCCTGGGGCTGGGCGAAGGCCGGCAGCGGGTAGCTCTCATCCTGGGCCAGAAGGGTTTGCAGAGGTCGCTCGCGCCGTGCCCACTGACGCCTGGCGGGGGGGCTGAGAAACACACCAGGCATGACCCTGGGCCTGGCCGCCGGCTCCCCGCAGGACGGGGGCACACGGGGCCAGCGTGTTCACAGCATCCCCGTCACGGGGGCCTGGCTCTTGCACCCGGGGCCAGAGGGTGCACCCCGTGCCCTCCCCCCTTCCAGCGCCCCAGGGAGCGTGCGGAGGTCTCAGCCCCGGGAAGGGACAAGGAGCACGCAGCCCTGCTCCCGGGGAC